TGGATTAAGATCGATTATTTGAAGTATTTGTTCATCTTGTTTTCGCTTCAAATAATTGGCACAGAGTCGGGAAGTGTGTTTAGGGTCATTATCTTGTTGAAAAATAAATTTTGGACCAATTAAATTGAAACCAGATGGAATATGGCGTGGCGCTCAAGTATGCTATGATACTGTTCTTTCTTTAAAGTTCCATGTATTTTGACAAGCGATCCGACTCCATTGAATCCAAAACAACCCCAAGCCATCACTGAACCACCACCGTGGTTCACCTTTGTCGAAATACACTTAGAATTGAGTCTTTCATTACCCTTCCTACGTCGATGACTTCCGAAAAGTTCGAATTTTGACTCATCCGTCCATAAAACTGATTTCCATTGATTGATGGTCCAATTTAAGTGGGTTTTGGCAAATTGCAATCTCTTTTGTTTATTTACTGCTCGCAGAAGTGGTTTTTTGAGTGGCCTGCACAATCGCCGGATCTTAATCCAATAGAGCTGTTGTGTGACGAGCTTAAATGCCGCGTGAAGGATTTGCATCCAACCAGCCTTGCTGCCCTGTGGAATTGCCTTAACGAGTCCTGGAAGAACATACCTGCGCAAACATTGCAAAAACTTGTTAAAAAGATTACCAAAAATATGCGCTGCAGCGATCAAAGCAAAGGGTGGTCATATTCATGAAAATCGACTGTGACATTTTAACATTTTCATTGCTAATTAGTCCGTCATTTCTCACAAATTGGTTACAAATCAGTCACTAAATATTAATACTACGTAGAATGTACAAAACTAACTTGAATAAAATTATTTTTATATGAAAAATATAGCTAAAAACTAAAAAAATGAGATTTTTTATGTGTCCGGAAACTTTTGGCCTGTACTGTATATATATATATATATATATATATATATAAAGAGGCCATGAGTTTCAGATAGAAACGATATTTCATGTCATGATATTTTTATAGTGTCGAAATCATAGTTTTCAATACATTTTTGAAAAACATAAATATCTTTTTACTTATTAACTATTGTAATCGTCCAAAAATCAAAATTGAAAATTTTTACATTTCTCGACGTTTTGAAGGTTTCTGAACGTTTTGGCATACCTCAGAAAAAATGGATGTGTGTGTGTGTTTTGTGTTCCCGCTTTTTTTCGTTCACGTTTTCGGGCGCACGGATCAACCGATTTGAATGGTTTAAAAAACATTCGATTCCTATTGATAGCGAGATGTGCTGATTAATGTTTGGCAAAGGCAGGTCCAGCCGATACGGAGATGAAGAGCAAAGATTGCAGAAAATAAAAATCAAGTTTTTGATAGAACAGACCATCCGATTTGAATGATCTGAAAAATATTCAATTAGTAATGATTGGGAGAAGTGGTTATTAGTTTTTGGCAAAGGCAGGCCCAGCCATTTCGAAGATACAGAGCTAAATATACAAAAAATGCCAGTTTTTGAGAGAAATAAGCATCCAATTTGTATGATTCAAAAAAATTTCAGCTTGTGCTGACAAAATAATTGCTTTCCAAGCAAAGACATAAAGATTATGAACGAAAAGGGCAAAATCCTTACAATCAGGCTGAATAGCTGGTTCCTCGCCAATAAAATTGTACTGCATAAAAATAAAATTTTATTCAGTTTCCATTAATTTTACAGCTAGTGGAAGACATGTTGAACTTCAAGGCGGCGAAGTTAAATACTTGGGACTAACAATGGATAGTTTTCTGACCTGGGCCAGACATATAGAATTGCTATGTGCAAGGTACTCGAAAGCTATTTATGCCATTAGAAAAATTTGATCCATAATAAACCAGGAATGTGCCAGGGAAACCTACTTTGCTATGTTCCATACTGTACTTTCATACGGAATATTAGCTTGGGGACATAGTGCACATACTCCTAAAGTTATGGATCTACAATAGAAGGCGGTTAGAACAATAGAAGGAGTCTCACCCCTAGAGCCAATCAGCAAATACAAAATTTTGACTGTCACAAACATTTATATTTGGCAACAAGCTATTGCGGTGCATGCTGATAAAACTAATCATTTATTGAGAAGTGATGTCCATGACCACAATACGCGAAATAAAAATGCTGTGATATGTCCAAAAATTAAACTTAAATCATCGCTCAAAGAAATAAAGAAGATCAAATATTATTGGCTAATTGGCAGAAATTCAAATATGTGTTATGAAAATAAACTACTTTTATATAAAACAATAATTATCCCGATCTGGACATACGGAATTAAGCTGTGGGCGTGCGCAAGCAATTCAAATATAAAAATAATACAAAGAGCGCAATCGAAAATGTTAAGATGCATTGTGAACGCACTCTGGTATATTACAAATGACACTCTGCATAAAGACTTAAGAATTAAAATTACTAATGAAATGATAAAAGAAAGGAGCCAAAGGTACCACGAAAAATTACCAAGTCACCAAAACAAATATTTAAAAGAATTAAGCGAGGAATCTCCTACTCAAAGATTGAAAAAAAAATGGTCATACAATCTTGAATAAAATGTCAAAAAATAAAAAAAAAGATATCTCATAAGAGATAATTGATCGGCAATAAATCTATGCAAATAAAAAAAAATCATCGCTAAGAATTTCATTGGGAACTACTACTGTGGAGATGCAAAACCAGATTCACTTTTAAAATACTGTTAAAAATTATTTACTAAATAATTCCTATTATTTTAGAAATAAATTTTTAGAATAATTATGTATCGTAAATGACTTAAATTGTAACTATTGAATTTTAATAAAGTTTTATTCTATTCTTTATATATAGTTCTATTCTATTTTATTCTATTCTATATATATATATATATATATATATATATATATATATATATATATTTTGGAAATATGAACAAACAACACTCTTCTTGCACTAATTAAATAATAATTTTCACAAACTTTTCGAGACTAGGTTTGTCTCATCATATATACATACACATACATAAGTGTATGGGCAGATGTATGTATGTATATGTGTATGTATATATGTATATATATATATATGTGTATGTATGTATATATGTGTAAGTTTATGTGTAATATGGCGATATGTATATGAGGATATGTGAGTGTTTTTTATATATAGGTAGGTGTATGTCTGTGTGATGTGTATATGGTTATGTGTATGTATGCATATTATGTATATTATAGGCATATAGGTATTGGTATATGTGACGTTTTGTACTGTGGGTATACGTTTGTGTATATGAATATGTATATAGATGTACATACATTTTTAATAGTGATGTGCCAAGTCGAATCAAGTGATTCGAATCATTCGAATCAAGCCTTTAACGACTTGATTCGAATCAGATTTTACTTGATTCGAATCAACTCGTATCAAGCCGCGAAATATTTACTGTGATAAAACATGTGTGAACATTAATTTTCATAAATATAAAAAAAATGTTTTAATTTAATTCAATATTATAATAATATAAATAATAATAATAATAAATATAAAAAATAATAATAATAAATATAAAAAATAAATCTTGAATTAAATCATGCGAGTCACCCGCCTTTAATACGCTTAAATGTATCACCCGACTCCAATTTATATGACTTTAACCGCATTCAAGTCGATATGAATTCATCCGAGTTCCTATGACTCAAACCGACTTATCCCGACTTCAAGTCGTTATGAATTGATTCGAGTTCCTATGACTCAAACCGACTTATCCCGACTTCAAGTCGTTATGAATTGATTCGAGTTCCTATGACTCAAACCGACTTATCCCGACTTCAAGTCGTTATGAATTGATTCGAGTTCCTATGACTCAAACCGACTTATCCCGACTTCAAGTCGGTATGAATTTATCCGAGTTCATATGACTCAAACTGAATCATTCCGACTTGAGTTCGAAACATGTGTCCGTGTTTAGCGTATCGACTTATCAAGATGCTGTGCGTATGGGTCTTGAGTGTTTGTTTATTTTTGACTAAGCGCTGAGAGCAAATTTGTTCATGAAATATCAAAAACTCATTTAGATAATAAATACGCGATTTAGATTTTAATTATTATCAAAATAAACTACACAACGAGTTTTATACACATACAAAATTATCATATTTTAATTATGCAAGTAATGGCAAATTCACACAAATCAAATAATATCAATCTTTACAGTAGTGGATTGAATTTTAAGTCATTCGTAAGACGTTAGATTCAGCCCCCTGTTTAGATTAGATCTGAACAATCAATAATATACACATGCATTCGTTCAACGTAAGATTAAGAATATTGTTTTATATGCTTTAGTGATAGAGAAGTGTTTGGTTATATTTTACTGTAAATTCACTTGAAATATTAGTTATATTTGTAGCTAGTTTATTATTATATATATAATATAAATGTATTCATCTCTGCACTTTTTGGAATTAATTGCTTACTAAATTAATTATTTCACTTATAAAATTATTAAGATGATATTATTTCTTCTCTTAAATTATAATTGTTCATATATGAACTTGATTCGAATTGATTCGAATCATGATTCGAATCAGGTTTTTTTCTGATTCGAATCATTCGAATCAGGAAATTTTCGAGTCGGCACATCACTAATTTTTTCGAAACGTTTGTGAAAATTATTATTTAATAAATTAGTGCAAGAAGAGTGTTGTTTGTTCATATTTCCAAATTAATATCTATTATCCACTCAGAATACATTTGTTATATATATATATATATATATATATATATATGTGTGTGTGTGTGTGTGTGTGTGTGTGTGTATGCATGTTCATGTGAGTATATATACATACTCACATATACCAATAATTACATACATATATGTCAAAGTGAAAGACCAAAAAGACGATCATGTACATGAAATTTTCATGAAACAAAGATATCAACAAATGTTTGAATATTATCACATTATAATCAAAAAGTTAGTAATGACTTTTGAACTTTTTTGTTATAAGACAAGTATCAATCATTCTAATTTTATTGTAATATTTAAAGAAAACTCACGAATCTTCGCGTCCTCTATGATTTCTACCATCTGGACACAAACAAGGTTCAGCATCGCACTTATCATATCTCAAATATAAATCATAGAAGGCTTCCGGCTCCAATTCCCATGAAGCATCTCTAGGTTGAGAAAAATTATTGAAATCATTGAATAATGTCAGGAAAGTTAATTTCTAAAAATCCTTTCTTTCTAAATTTTAAATTTCATATCAATAATATTATTCAATATTATTCTTTAATTGAATATAATTCAAATCAAATAAAAAACCGTAAATTTATATTATGAGCAAAAATAAACAAAATTTTTATTGAATGCATAAATTGAAACCAGCGGTAAATATTATCAATATCAGAGTTACATCAGAAGAATGAAATAAAAAAGCATTCATGGATTGCATAAAAATTTAAAGATTTAAAACTTACTTTTTTGGAACATATACTCCAATTCTTCGCATTTCTTCAACAAAAACATTTTTGTCATTGCAAAGCGGGCATTTGAAATGCGACTCACCCGCAGAGAAGGCAAATTGCTAAAAAGTAATAAAATTATATCATTGATAACAAATTTTCATACTTAAAACCGGTTTTAATATATAATATATATTACAAGAAATTTATTTTAAATAATCAAATCCAAATATAAGTAGAATATATTGAACTTCATTGTAGTATTTAAGTTGATAAAAATATATTATCTCTAAATTAACACTTATTATTTATAATGTTTAAATATTATGCCACAAAAAGTACTTTTCATCACATTATACAACCTTATATTGACATGTTAACAAGTCACGAGTTAACTCGTTATATTATGGTCAAACTTTGCTTACCAAAACTAGATATATTTGTAACAGCTGTTGTGTACTATTACACATAAGTGATTGTTATACTAATTATCATACCAAAAATAAAAACTAAATAGTAAATAAAATTTATTAAAGTTTATTTTTATTGTTTTACTTCCACAACTAATTATGAAATAATAGTCGGTGACATAAGATAAATTTTTAATATAAGTGTTGCTATTAATAAAGTGTTAATATAATTGATAACAATTGCAATTGATATTAATTATAATAATGACAATTACCAAAATGCATTTCCTATGAAAAAACCCATTTCGACAACAAGGTGGCCACAAAGTTTTATAATTAATTTCAGGAATTAATGTATCATAACAGATACCACAGCAGTCTTCAAATCGTGAATTAGCCAAAGAGTACAACATGTCTTCATTTGAAACAATCTGTTTTGGGGCATGATCAGGGCAGTAGGTGCTGAAAGGTAAAAGAACAATTTTGGACTGGAATATGTATTGTATTGCAACATTTACATAGAATGAATAATATATGTTTAAAATTTACATGTAAGTAGCTATTTCCTCTGAGACATCTTAAATTTTTAAATGAAGATTAAAAATAAAGATGAGATGGATAATAAGGAACTAGTAATAAATCAAATTCCAAATAATGTTTAATAAAAATATGTTTATATATCACTATTTAAATATAATTTTCTACCACTGGGACTTTTTCATTCCAAATGATATTAAAAATCACGAAATAAATGTAGGCATTAATCGTCATAAAACTTGTTCAGAGTTATTACTCATTACTTTAATGTAAACCACAAGAGTTTATTAAATTCAAATAAATTGTAGGTCAATTCTACTAATTAAATAACTTACTTGAATGTCTCAAAATATTGCGTAACACATTCATTTAAAATTCCACATGGCAGATGATAGAATATCATGCAATATTCATCATAGCATTTAATATTCGCCCTCTTCTCACCACAATAATGGCATATCTATAAAAAAAAAACTATAATGTGTTACTAATTAATTAAAAACTAAATGGTTAAAAATAATATTTTTGTTACTTTGATTTATCTCGTAAAATAAAATCAAGCTTCAATTTTAAAAATTAATTAATGTATCAATAATATCAACATTGCATTAACAGATTTGTTTTGAAATTCTCACATACAAAGTTTTCAATTAGAACTAATTCTGGAATCAAATATCAGAAAGTAATAAAGAAACTATTTTAAGAAAAAAAAACATTGTTATGAATTTACTGGACCAAAAACTTACTAAGTGAACAGTTATGTCAATAAGACTAACAGTTATAAAACTGTATAGAGTGTTAAAAGTAACTTTAAACAAAAAATGTGTCTGCAGTATTTCTAGAAATCATTTTTCATTTCTCTCCAAATTTAAAGAATCAACGATCTAAAACCTAATTCAGATTATTCGGAATTTGATTTATACAAATGCATTGTATAATTGAAATATTAAATCTTGTTAACATATTACCTTTTGTGATATTCTTCGATATGCAGCTTGAATAGTTTTCGCAGTAAAACCAAAAATACCAGTGTCTGGCTTAGCAGTCTGATATGTATTTTGTGTTAGTAGCTAGAAAGATTATAATAATTTTTCAACATATATATATATATATATATATATATATACTAGCTGACCCGGCAAACGTTGTTTTGCTAAATAGGGTATATTCTAAACCATTTCTAGAGAATCAAAAATATTAATACTTTAAGTGTATAAGGATGTGTTGTTTGAATACTATATATACAATGAGCAATGATTATAAAAACAATAAACTGCATTAGTTTGTCTATATTTTGTCAATACATTCAAACTGCAAGTTTTATACACTTTCTATAGAAAACATCATATAATCCAATCCGAGTCTTTTTTGGTCTTTCGGCTTATTAATTACGTTTCAAGTTTTTCAGATTCTTTTTGGATTCTGGATTTTGTGTATAATTGTAAATAATACTACTGAGCTTACACAAAATTTTCAAATTTTTGCGAGGAGAGATAAAAAATGAATTAAGTATTTCTTCTTTGACCTGCTTTTTGAAAAGTTTCAAGTTACATTCGATGAATTAAAGTAAATTTAATAAAAACTATATATGTAGAGCAGGGCGAGGCACAAAGGTCCAATTTGACTTTGAGCAAATATAAACTATATTGTGAAAACCATAACAATTATATCACAACAAATAAGACATATCAAACGAACAATTATCTGACTACGTTCAGTAAACTGTCTTCTACTTCATCATTGTAGAAATGTGCTTTTTTGCTGTATTTCAAAAATTTGTTATCTTTTTACCAAATAGGCAAGGTAACTTGGAACAGCCAGGTGGCAAATAGGTTTAATATCTTATTTTTATTTTAATAATACAAAATAATTACATTTTTAACTAATGCTAAAAAACTACCAACGCAAAAAAATACTTTTATTATGGATTTTCAAAGATTACCGTTTATCTCCCCCATTTCAAAGATTATCGTTTTCAAATCAAGTTTGTAGCTGGCTATACATCTTTTTTCCTCTACTTTCAAATATTGTTGTTAAACACTGCTTAACTTTTGTGGTTTTTGACACTTCGGTGGTGGAACATTTTAACCCCGGACCTTCATATATTACTATCTATTCCTCGATAAATTCTACGAAATTATAACTGGGAAAATGTTATTCGGCAAAATTTCCCTTTGATCAATACCAAATTTAGGTTTTGAATTTTAAATAACATAAATAAAAAATAATATAACCTAGAAAATGTTTTATAAATATCAATGAGTATATAATTATACAAATGTGATCTTTCAGATCTCCGTGTTTGAGAAAAATATGCTAAAAAGTGCATTTTTATATTAACATTTCAAAAGAGTTGATATTTTGAGTTTCTAGTAACACTTGCGGCCCGTTTACTAACGTTTTTATATATAAATAAAACTATAAACAAAGCTACTTACTACAATTTAATTATAATTAAATAATATTCACGTAAAATATCCTATTGAACGTAATTGAACATCATCTGTCAAAAACGTTTGACATTTCATGGATTAGCAACCTTCCATTGCTTTAGTTAGATTACGCTTCTACAAAAATTTTCAAATTAAAAGTAAAAAGTTTCTACTCGGATTTGAAATAATTTCTCATCTTTTGGACTTTCTCTGGATTGGCACGAATTTTTCAAGACTAAGACTGGCCAAATCGATTCAGCCGTTTTCGAGTTTTATTCGGACATTTGAAAGAGAGCTCCATTTTTATATATAAGATATATATATATATATATATATATATTTGAATAGTCTTGAATTTGATGTTGATATATATTTTTAGTTTGAGTTAAAAAGTCGGGCGTTACATCAATAAAAAGAGTATGAGAGTTTTTTAGAAATTTATTTATTTAAAATCCATACGTTTCGGCTAGCATCTTAGCCTTCATTCAGCGGTAATCAATTTAAAATTTTGTATCCAGTCAGGTAAATCGTTATGTACTGCGGAGTTCTATTAATAGAATAAAATTGACAACTCCGCAGTATATAACGATTTACCTGACTCAGAGACTCATTCTGGTGTAATATGTTCACCATACATTGAAGAATTGTTTGTTCCTTGGAAAAAACTTTTTTATAAATCTGGACTCCGAATTGTAAACAATATTAGTACAACGACTAGTACTATTTTTACCAAAACAAAAACCCAATATAAATATATCTATATTTTCAATAGAAAATAGACATCGCGCTGCCCGATGTCAGATTGCCAGAACGGGCATTCGAACGCCCGACCCTGTCCATACAAAGTCAACGCGTTAACAATCTTCGCAACGACGAATCCTATATATATATAGCAGAATGACCCAAACAGCAGAATGAGTCTCTGAGTCAGGTAAATCGTTATGTACTGCGGAGTTGCCAATTTTATTATATATATATATATATATATATATATATATTAGGGTGGTCCTTAATATGGACATTTTCAAATTTCCTTGCTCCCAGTGGCTCAAATGGTTCCAAATTGTTAAAAAACAATTCTATGAAAGTTTTAGGTCTTAATATTAACTTTTAGATAGTGCGCAATTCAATCAAACTTCGTATGGAACTAGCATGAAAAAAATTTTGAAAATTAAAAAAAAAATGTTTTAGGTATAGCATAGCGACAAATGAATTAAAAGTGAAAATTCGTGTCATTTTTTATTGAAAATTCGACGCTCTGTAAAATTTTTGAAAATTTTTTCATGCTATCTCCATACAAAACTTTGATTGAATTGCGCTTTATCTAAACGTTAATATAAAGAGCTAAAACATTCAGAGAATTGTTTTTTACCAATTTGGAACCATTTGAGCCCTTGGGAGCAAAAAAATTCGAAAATGTCCATATTAAGGACCACCCTAATATATATATATATATATATATATATATATATATATATATATATATTGAACTGTAATAACAATTCGAATCATTATTTTGTTTAATAATTACAAAACGCGTTGCTAGTTATATGTAGGTTACGCGGACATCGGAAGTGCTTACTGTTGGATTTTGTAAATAGGTTGTAAACAAGAAATTAGTATATAAGAGTTAGACAAAAGTTAGACTGTCAGTCAAGCGTGAGTCAAGCTTGGAGCCAGACATAGTATTCAGTAAAATGTAGTCTTTGCTGATATGATAACCAAAAGGTTATCAATGAATATTAATTGTAAAAATAGTGAATAATAAAAGTATCATTCAAAGAAAGAAGTGTGTTTACAAATTACTATCAATCGCTCTGGAGAGTCCACATCACAAATATAATATTTCAACAACTATTCAACTGTTCACCGCTCGGGTCCAGCCTATCATTACAATTCCTGGTCGTACTGGTGATCCAGAACATACATCCAAAGACATCACCAACCATCAGGACACTTTATGGTGGCTTAGCGGTTTTTTCCCTCGTAGCGCTGAAGAATTTTCTGACGGAGACATCGAGTTCAATAGCTGCCACAACTCGATAAACCGAATGATCATTCGCAGCACAAACTAAGTGATGGTGGCGCCTACCGAAGAACTTTAGAACGAACGCGAGTCTACGACTAACTTGGACATAACTATCTCATCGGATTCAAGTAAGCAAATCAAAACTTAATCATATCTCAAGATGGAACCCATTTTTGCAGAAGCTAGAGAAGGTAAAGATAATAGTATAGAAATAAATAAATTTAGAATTCAGTTAGCAATTAGCACTATACCCGATTTTAATGGTAATTCAGATGACCTCTTTAAATTTTTAAGTACTGTAGGCTCTATTTTAGATGATGTGGATTTTGAGACATACAAATTTATATCAAAAATTGTTATTTGTAAATTAAGTGGAACAGATTTTGATTGCATTAGACGGGCTGATTATCAGTTATGGGATAATATCAAACCTATTCTAATTAAACGATTTAAAGGTAGAAGGTCAATTTCTGATTTACATCACGAGCTTGCAACAACAACAAGAAAAAATGGGGAATCGATTGAGGAATTTGCAGAGAAAGTTGAGAGTTTGCTTACGTTAATAAACAACGAATGCTATTTTACACATAATGAAATAGCGTATCCATCATATTGTGACTTGGCTTTGGCAGTTTTCGTTAAAGGCCTACCATTGGACTTGAAAATTATTATTATCCAGCCAAATCGGAAAATTTGAAGGATGCAAAGAATATCGCTGCAAAAGAAGAAAACTATTTAAACATCAGATCTGATAAAAAATACAACCCATTCGTCACTTGCAGATACTGCAAGAAAAGGGAACACCACATTAACCAATGTCGAAAACTTACAAATAGGAAAAGAGGTGACAAACTTAGAATCTACAATGGTGGAAATGACGATAGAATGGACTACGAAAGTAATAAGGATCTGAAATATACAGAAACATATGATGATACATACAAGGCATTCATAACAACTAAAGAAGAGTCCGAAGAGTCCAGAGAATCCGAAGAACAAGAAGAATACAAAGCAGAAAGTTTGACTCACAACACAACACAACAGAAAAGGGAACACCACATTAACCAATGTCGAAAACTTACAAATAGGAAAAGAGATGACAAACTTAGAATCTACAATGGTGGAAATGACGATAGAATGGACTACGAAAGTAATAAGGATCTGAAATATACAAAAACATATGATGATACATACAAGGCATTCATAACAACTAAAGAAGAGTCCGAAGAGTCCAGAGAATCCGAAGAATCCGAAGAACAAGAAGAATACAAAGCAGAAAGTTTGACTCACAACACCAAAATAGAAGAGTTGACGACAATCGCTGGAAATTCATTCGAAGAAGAAAAGGATCTATATGAGGCAGAAGATATGGAACAAACCATACCAACAAATTCATACGAAGAAGAAAAGGATCTATATGAGGCAGAAGATATGGAACAAACCATAGGAACAAATTCATATGAAGAAGAAAAAGATCTGAACATATATGTGGCACAAGATATGGAACAAGCCCAAGATGAGGTTTACGACATGAAAGAAATAAATAATGAACAAGAAGAAATAAGAATACTTAATGATGAAGGACCAGAATATATGAAAACCATTCCCATTAAAATAAAGAAGAAAAAGAAAAAGAAAAGAAATATTAAAAGAAGAAAAATTAATGATGAAATTATAGAAGAAAATAATCAAGGAACCAGGGAATATAAAGTTAATATGATAAGAAAATTACCTTCACAACGAAAATTGTCAATAAATGAAAATATAGCCACTATTACAGATATGTTCAACCGTAAGAAAATGAATTTGAACACAAAGGAGAAATATGCACATTTACAAAGCAGCAGAAAATTGCAAACACATGTAAAGAAGAGAAACATTCCCGATTTCATTATATTCAGAACAGCACCAAAATTGTTTTATTATAAATACCGGAAGAAAATAAAACTTCGCCAGGTGTAAACACATGAGTAACAAAGCAAGTCATTTTGTTTGGTTGACATAAGCGAATTCTCATATTTCAGAGCAGCATTTGTCCAATTTTGATTACCTAGCAAATTTCGAATATATCAAGTATTAACAATACAACGTAAATTTAAATTTTCATTAATTACTATTTATGATTTAAATTATCAAATGCAAGATTCTTTACGCCATTATTAATTTCTTGCAGATTTTAAAGACATTTTTCATATTATGATTTTTATGCTCTATTGATATAAAAGTTTTTGAAAAAAAAAAAATATTTTGCATCATTTATGATAAGTTGTTCGAAGCATATTTTGTTTTACCGGAATAACATTTTAAATTTCAGTGATGCCTTTACATAATCAGCGACCATCTAAATTGCATTCAACTGCTGATTTTTTTTTTTTTTTGTATGTATGTTATTAAAGATTTATTAATGTAGAGATAAAAATAAAATTATTATAAGATTTTTTTTTAGAGCATATATATTTGTAAACATATTCTAACAGGAATGACACTTTTGAGGACAAAAGTTTTTAAGGGCCGAAGGAAGAAGAGATGGAACTCATTTTTTTTAAAAAATCTTCTTAATTTTTATAGTTTTCCGAGGACGAAAAACTTTTGAAGAGGGAGGTTGAACTGTAATAACAATTCGAATCATTATTTTGTTTAATAATTACAAAACGCGTTGCTAGTTATATGTAGGTTACGCGGACATCGGAAGTGCTTACTGTTGGATTTTGTAAATAGGTTGTTAACAAGAAATTAGTATATAAGAGTTAGACAAAAGTTAGACAGTCAGTCAAGCTTTGAGTCAAGCTTGGAGTCAAGCTTGGAGCCAGACATAGTATTCAGTAAAATGTAGTCTTTGCTGATATGATAACCAAAAGGTTATCAATAAATATTAATTGTAAAAATAGTGAATAATAAAAGTATCATTCAAAGAAAGAAATGTGTTTACAAATTACTATCAATCGCTGTTCGTCCTAAAGGCCTTTCACACTATCAGTGGACTCTGGAGAGTCCACATCACAAATATAATATTTCAACAACTATTCAACTGTTCACCGCTCGGGCCCAGCCTATCATTACAATTCCTGGTCGTACTGGTGATCCAGAACATACATCCAAATACACTACCAACCAGCCCAGGACAATTCAATATATATTATTAACCTGACTCAGAAACTCATTCAGGTGTAATATGTTCACCATACATTGAAGAATTGTTTGTTCCTTGGAAGAAACTTTTTTATAAATCTGGACTCTGACTTGTAAACAATATTAGTACAACGACTAGTACTATTTTTACCAAAACAAAAACCCATTTTAATATCGATCGACTAGATTGTCTAGATTGTAATTTAATTTAAATAGGAGAAACAAGCCGGAACTTAATTAAACGTTTACAACAACATAAAAACAATTAAAAAATCCGAGACTATTTAAAACTATGCTTGCGTACCATATTTATACTTTGAAACATAATATGGACTTTTCTAACCCGACTCTACTACAAATCGAATAAAATTTATTCAAACAAAGAATTATAGAAGAATCTATATATATATATATATATATATATCTATAGAAAAATTTTAAATAAATTTTTGAAAGAAATTCATGTTTTTTATTGAGGTTGCCCGGTGCCCGATTACTAGACTTTGTTAATATATATATATATATATATATATATATATATATATATATATATTTAGTCATATATGAACTTGATTCCATTTAGTCAACTTACCAAACAGAAATAATGTAATTTATAATTCATATAACAACATTTTTGACCGAGTTGAGTTTCATCCACATCTGATCTTCTGCAAATGTCGCATATCATTTTCTCATCCCCAATTGTCACTGTTGAATATACTTGCTTCTTTGATTTAACCATTCTTAAGAATTTGTAAATCTAAAATATTATATAAATATAAAAGTTAGAAAAAGCTGTAAATTGCAATATAGCACAATCATGATAAATAAGTAAAAATATACATGTTGTTGGCACAATCAAATTCAATTCAAAATTATCATGTGTTTATGAGATTTATAAATTTATGAATCATACAAAACATTAGTTTCTGTAATTAAATTTACTGCTTGTGACTTATAGACTATTAAAATGATTTATCTCAAATAGTTGGTTTACAAGAGCTTTATATTTCATAAATGTCAAAAATATTACATAGAAAATTTAAATTGTTGAAGTCTCTTTTCTAGGTACCCGAATACTAATATATAAAAATTAGTATGCACCCATGTGACTCAGTTATATTTAATTCGGTACCAATGGTCTATAAACATAATAAAGAAATGTGAAATTTCTCCATAATGTCGAATCGAGTGTTCATAACAAACGGCCCAAATTGATAATAGCAATTTTCATGAATACATTAACATGTATTTTTTTTTTAATAATAATATTTAAATTAAAACAAAATTAAACAGCCCAAAATTCAAAATTAAACAGCCCAAATTGATAATAGAAATTATCACTTATTAGTAACATGTATGTTTAAATAATAATACCGATATTAATACTGGAGTGCTGGTATTTTATTTTTCGAATATTGAATTCCAGAATTCAAAGATTAGTTCAGTATTGGAAGCTCTAATAATGATACAAAATCATAAAAATATAAATTTATATTTATATATAAATTTATGATACCTTCGTCTCATTGTAACCACATTCTGAATAAATTTATAAATAAATTACTTGTCTATATACTTCCATACAAATAATAACAAGTATAACTTTTATATAACTATATGTTTTAACATGATAAATATGGATTCACTTACCAGCATATACACAATGTTACTTTGTAAAAGTTGAGTCCTTTTTAAAGATCTATGAATACACATTAATGTTTATCAATAATTAAGGTGTTAATATAACATAAATGTATTTGATTATAAGCAAAATGAGACATAACATTGTTAGAAAACACAATGAAGTTTATAAATTGTCTATTTTAATAAAATACACTTATGCCAGAATGTAAAATATGCTAAACAAACAACTATTCCTTTCATAAAGAGGTCAGACAGGAGCGATGAGCTCGTCTTTTATAAGAGTTAGCACAAAAATTATATTCTAAACAATAAAATAATTGATAATGAGAAGATTTCGACTTGGTACGCAACAGTCTACATTTTTGACATTTGTACAATTGCATTTTGTTTTGATTTATTTTATTTTTCTTATCAGTTTAAATTGTTTAAAAATAATCTGATAAAACTACTAAAAACTTAATGATCCTCAGGTTAATGATTATATTACCTTCACAGTGAGCATAAAAAAAATCTTTTTCATTTCAACTGGCACATCACACAATTAAGTGAATAATGAATTTATTGATTCTTATTATTATATGAAAATAGAATCACACAGACCGTTACTATTTCGTAATATTTTTAATTTTCAGGTAATGTTTTCACAAGAAATGCCAAATTAAACAAACAGTTTGAAATATATTGAAAATATTTAATAAAGTGGGTTGTCATGAAATTATTATAGTATGGAAATAGAAAATATTACAATTTATATTAATTTTGATTTGTATAATGATTTTGACATATATAAAATTAATATTAAAACATCAGTTTAAGGCAAGAAGGTTAAAAACGTAAACAATTACTATCTCAGAACAAAATACGCATTTAGAAGGGCTAATTAGGGGTCCATTCGTAGTCGCAAATTTGGCGCTAGTGAGCCGATGAAAAAGTATTTTCAAATGTTTTATGCATAGATAAATAAGCATATGGTTTTATGTTGGTTACTAAGAAAAGTTAGTGTCTTAGATAAATAAGCATAAAGTCAGTGTTATTTTTGTGTCAGTTTTACAAAACGGCGATTCTTGTTCGTTGTGTTTGTATATTTGTTAAAAGGGCGCATTAAAGAAAGAGAGATTTCACTGATTTTTTTTACTACACTGATTGTGAGTTACTTTTTATCACAGCTTGCTCTCGAGAAGGCCCTTTTTATATTTAATATTTATAGTTTTTTTTGCTTTTTATTATAATTCATTCATTTTATGTTCATTGCGGTTTATTCGTTTCGGCTTTTTTATTACACAGCAATTTATTTCCTATTTATATATTTACATTTTTGAGTTATGTTTTATGGATTCTTTTCTTTTATATTTACGTGTAGGTTTTAGAGATCATTTTAGTAAGGCTTAATTTTATAGAATGTTTTAGTTATAATTAACTTCCCGTAGGGTAGTTATAGCAATGGGCTAAAAATCAAAATTGAATTTTTTTCATTTCTCGACGTTTTGAAGGTTTCTGAACATTTTGGCATACTTTAGAAAAAATGGATGTGGTGTACTTTGTGTGTCCGCATTTTTTCGTTTACGTTTTGGGGGCACGGATCAACCGATTTGAATGACTTAACAAGCATTCAATTAGTAATGATTGGAAGAAGCTCGTTATTAGTTTTTGGAAGATGGAGGCCCAGGAATACTTTCGGGCGCCGATCAACCGATTTGAATGGTTCAAAAAATATTCGATTCTATTGATAGTGAAATAAAAAGCAAAGAGTGCAGAAAATAGAAGTCGAGTTTTGAGAGAACGGAGCATCGATTTGAATGATCTAAAAAATATTTAATAGTAATGATTCGGAGAAGTGTTTATTAGTTTTTGCATAGGCAGGCCCAGCCATTTCAAAGATACGGAGCTAAATGTGTAAAAAATGGCAGTTTTTGAGAGAACTAAGCGTCCGATTTAAATGATTCAAAGAACTTTCTGCTTGTCTTAACAAAATAATTGACTTTGAAAAAAAAATTTGTTTTAATTAATTTGTTTTCAATAAACATTTTTTTTTGTATATCAAAAATAATTTAGATTTTATTTTTAATCTGACTATAGTTCTAATATACTTTAAACAAATAATTTCAACTTTGGAATTCAGTTATATAATTCTTATAAATATTAGACAATGTTA